AATGTAGATTTTATGGTGTGAAAAAAAAGGTTTTTTATTTGGAGAATCATACTCAAAATCTATAATAAATTTATTCGATTAATAAAATTATTTACCTTTTGAGCTAATGCATTGTGTTGTCGAACATTTAGTTGAATTACTCTCCTTGTAAATTAGTAGGCAAGATTAGTTCAACCAGTTTTGCCTACAATAATTATAATAAATTAATATGCTTGATGTATATTAATTATAATTCAACACATACATTTTATTGTTTCACTTTAATTAATTGTATAAATTACTGGGACGGCCGCTATATAATGAAGGCTAGAGGCGGTTTTGTCTTTAACTTTTACCATGTATGTATTTGTAATTACGAGATAATAATGCACATTCATCAGGAGGAGATTGTTTTTTTTTAATATTTGCATCATAAAATGACGATTTCTGAACACTCAGTCACAAACAAATGAATAATTGTGGGGTGGGTGAATATTTTAAACAGTAGTTTTAGGAAGGAAAAGAAGACGATGGTACAAATGATGAAATTTCCCAGGCTTTAAAATATGCGATCTCTAACTTAGAGAATCCTAGGAAATTTTTAGAAAAGGATGTAATATTTTTGTGAAAGGAAATTATAAATTAATTTCATAGAATGCACAAACTTTTATAGATCTAGAAATACTTAACCATATTTCTAATGAACGATTGGACAAATGTAGGGCTATATGTTTATATAGTAATTTGTATCCTTGATGTTCAAATTACTGCCTGGACTATATAAACACTGGAGATACTTTTGATATACCCGATCATTTAGTCCTAATAACCACGAAAAATGGATTTATACAAGTTTAAGAAAATTAAAGACAAGCTTACTTCAGATATGGATATGTAAAAATGTATATAGTGATTGTAATATGTTACAAGATCGAAAAAAATCATACATAATTATATAGTTTATACTTAGGTCAATGTGCTGCACCATGTTTTTTTTGTATAAAGGGGGAAAGCGTTTATGCATCCCAGACTAAGTTTTTTGTCTGGGTATGTCGGACTCGATACTGTCTGGGTATAATACCGACTAAAACCTCCGATTATCTCTTGCCTTTAGTTTCCACGGAAACCGCCGTTAGGCATTACTTCATGGGGGGGAGGATCTAGAATGCTGTAATTCTTTTTCTGAAATTATACTTTTTTTTAATTGTTGCCATTCGCTCTTCTTCTTCACTATGTGATGGAAAATATCCGGACTTCTATCCGAATATAGGTACCACATATATCTCATGATTATTTGAGTTATAGGAAAATGGAAAAGGGAGTTTTCAACTTTATGGTAACTCATCATGAATAGTAGATATCAATGCAGAATTAGATAGAGGATTTATAACAAAAAAAAACTCATAAACCGCTAGTCTATTTTCGCCTTGTCATAAAATATCTGTCAGCTCTTCAGTTAAAACTGGTGTGAGAATTATATTGAATGCGTTTTCTCTGGTTTTATAATACGTATACTTCGTGTTTATTACCGGCTGGAAGCAAAATCAGACCTAGAAGACTTAATGCTGATATATAGGTTACTTTAATATAGTCTGCGACGTACAATTTATATGCAATATTTTAGAATGCACTCTTCCGAATACTAAAAGCTGTTTAAGTGAACTGAGATTTATAACATTACTTTCGAGCGTGTCTATGACTGGTTGTTAAATTGCACATTTGAATTGTTATTTATTTTAGATGGCACTCGACAAATGTTCTTTAGAAAGATGAGATACTATTTATATTATGAATTATTCACATTGGTAATTTTAAATTATGACGCAATTCAATACCATTATCTCAACCACATCTCAACAATTGATCTCGAACACATTTTTATTATATGGATCAGATGAATATTATATTTGCCGAATCAGGAAGAAATTTTATAAATGAACTACATAAAATATTTATTTTTATTTTAACAAATTATGCTATATAGTACATAAATTTATACACTTCTTCTAAGGATGTTTCTATAAAATATTTTCTATATAAGAAAAATACTACCATATTTTATCCTCGATATTTATTACTTTTGTATTAAAATTTTTATAATGTAAGTGAATTGAGTATATGGGAAAGAAAAGCTCTTAAATTGCTCGGGGATAATGGATTTATTGTGTCGCATAAAAAGTATACTTTGTTCGACCCAGATTTGTTTTACACTTGATAAAAATAAGTCTTTAATATTCAAATATATTCTGAAGTGTTGGAACTGGAGTGGATTCGTTTTTAGGAAGGCGCCAGTGCAGTTATTGAGAAACCGTTTGAGAGATATTTTATATAAAAACAATATAGCACAAATGGGATAAAGTTAAAGGATAGTTGCAATACTATGAAATTTTTATTAAAATAAAATTTTGTGTGTTTGTTAAAATTCTTCAAGGTCTGTTACAGAAGCTTAGATTCATCTGCTAAAGTTTTTGTTTCCCTTATTCCGTTACTATTCTCTGCTGTCTATTAACTTAGCTTAATTCCTGGTTATTATCTCGTTCAAGAGAAAGGGGCTTGGTAAATCCAAGAGTTAAAATACTGGTATCACAGAAATAGTACACCCACACAAAACCTGTGACACTATAACGACTGTTACTGAATAATCGTTTGATCTTAATGCATACGTACTTAGTCGTTTGAACGTGCCTGATGGCTTTTAGATGTGTAGTCATTGTTATATAGAGACCCATAGTGTCTCGTTGAATTATTTTAGTTGTATTAGCTTTTCTTATCTCGTTCGTAGGCACTTTCTACTTTATACATCCTATTTATATAGCTGTTTGTTTTATCCATGTAGCCACAAGATCTATTTTATTCCGTGGACTATCATGTTAGGATTGCAGTTTTCCAGCATAATTTGAAGTGAAGGTTCATAAATTTCATGATTAGAAAGATAGCAATATCTGGTAAAAATTTTAAGTGCAATCTAGTGACTTGCGAAAGAAAAATTTAGTACATTAATAGTACAGGGAAAATAATGGATCTATGAAATCCAAGTCAAGGGAACTCTATTAAAGAAAACTAGATTCTATTTCTATTAAACTATTTGTTTCTGCGTCTGTTGTCTATCAGTCTGCCTAACTTTGAATCAGTCTGTTCTTCTATCTATTTGTTTGTCTATTTCTTTACCTATCTGTAGGTGTTTATGTCACTTTCATGTGTTTGCAACAATTTATTACCAATAATAAATATTGTGGGTTTACCTAATAGTAGTATTCAGCTAGAAACATTTTTAATTTCCTATAGGGTAAGTTATAGTTCTAGCAAAAAAATAAAAAATGAAAACGTTTGAATATATATTCACGTTTCAAAGTTTTCTGAACATTTTGTAATACCATAGGAAAAATGGATGTATGCGTGTGATGGCGAGGGGGTGTATGTGCGGATACAAGTTTTCGTCGACGATTTCTAGAGCATGGATCAACTGATTTGAATGATTTATAAATCATTCTATTTCTATTGATAAGGAGACATGCCGATTAGTATTTGGCGAATGCAGGTCCAGCCGTTTCGAAAATACAGGGAAAAAAGTACAAAAATAGCAATTCACTTTTTGAGAGAACGGAGCGTTTGATTAAACAATTCGAAAAACACATCACTTGTGTAAACTTAAATTTTCAAGGAATTTCATAATTTTCAATTTTTTTGAAAAATTATAATTCTTTAAAATTTCAGTAGACGGGAAGTTTACTGTTCATGAAATTATTCGGAATTATGCGCAGATAATCAAGTTCGATTGTATTGAGTGGATTGTAAAGTTGACTTGTGTAGTGTGTAAATCATTGTTTATACAAAACGACATTTCAGAAAACCGGTTTTCGAATTTTAATTTTACTAAAAACCGGTTAAAACCGAATTTTATATAAAAAATCAATTTTTGGTTGAATATTCTGTAATTTCTCCGCAAATTTAGCGTAATTTAGAGCAGTATTTGACTGAATTTATCTATTGTTCAATAGATAGTAAACAAAATAATTTAATTTTAATTAGTAGAACTAAAAAATAATAGTTTATCTTAATTGAATAACTTTGAAAATAATTATTCGTTATTCATGCATCATTTTTACATATAGGAATAAAAATATATTTATAATAGTGAAAGGAAAGTTTTCGAATAAATAAAAATAATATATTTAAATAAAAAAACATGTATTAAATTTAAAAAATTAATAAAAAAATATTAGATACATGTTGATACATACTTGTTAATATCAAGTTTAGTTTTAAAAACAATTAAGCTAAACTCAGGTATTGTCTGTTCCGAGCAATTTTAATTAATTAATTTTAAACATTCTGATTGTTTTATGTTCAATAAAATATGATTTTAAAAAACTGAGAACGTCTATCGAATTGCTACTTAGACGTGTCCTTTGTTTACTCACAAAATTTCCTGAAATAGAAAATACTCTCAAACTTGCCACCAAATTATACTTAATTGTTTGTAAAGCCTGATATAATAATTCTAAGTTTTTTGTTATTTAATTTGTGGCTTCTAGGGTTTAAACACTTTTTTGAAGTTTGAGTAGAGAAAGTTACTTCTTCAAGAAGAAGTCATACTGATTTAAATTAATATATACATTGGTATAAAAAGCTAAATTAATATATACAAAACCTTTCTGGGAACCATTGCAGACTGATGAGATATCAAATGCTATTGAACCGAAATGATTTCAAGAATCAAAACGCTTTCATCTGTCTTTTATATTTGGCTATATTTGTCATTTTCCATTTATACAGTGAAAACCGAATTTTTTCACTAAAAAACCGGTTTTCGAATTCCATCATTTTCGCAAAAAACCGGTTTTAAAAACCGGTTTTTGAAAACCGGCAGACCCTAGTAGTAATGCACTTGTTTCAATGTTAGTAGTTAATCTAATCCTTTATGTTGTAAGTCCATGTTGTGTTTTTTAATTATTTTGTCTTAAGTGTAAACTAATTTCTGTTTCCAATCTTTCTAACCTTTCTCTATTTGTTTCTATCAGGTGACGTCTTATCCGGTGTCTGTTTCATTGGCCTCTGGGACGCTGCGGCTCTTCGGGGCTTCGTTCTGGCGCCTCTTTGCGTGTACCTCGCCTTGGGCACAGTTTTCTTACTCGCCGGATTCGTATCTCTCTTCCGTATTCGAACTGTGATGAAACACGATGGAACAAAGACTGATAAATTAGAAAAACTTATGATCCGAATTGGACTGTTCAGCGGCCTTTATATTTTACCAGCGTTGACTTTAATCGGATGTTACTTCTACGAACAATCCTATCTGGACGAATGGATGGTGACATGGAATCATGATATGTGCTCGAGGAGCTTTTCGATTCCTTGTCCTTTGAACAGAAACGCGGCTGGTTTGTCCAGGCCGTTGTTTGAGATTTTTATGCTAAAGTATCTGGTGGCGATGCTGGTTGGAGTTACATCCAGCGTTTGGCTTTGGAGTGGAAAAACAGTAGTCACGTGGAGGAGATTTTTGGATGGTCTTGCTGGACGGAGAGAAGCCTACGTATGAGATTATATACGAAGGAAATTTAAAAATTGTGCTAATTTTTAAGATGCTGCCAAACTAGTTATTACAATATATTGACTGTATAAAAAAGTGTTAGAATTAAGTATGTTTGTGCTTGAATCAAATTTGATGTTTTATGATATTGTAAATATTGTCGCGAGTGCAACGAATTAATGTGTGTATGAAATTGAACCCATGTAGTTTTAGACTTTATTGATAAAGTTAGATCTGTTACAAGATCTTTATTTACCAAGTAAATTTCGGAAATTAACAAATACTGTTAAACGCTTTTAGTTTATAACATATGCTATGAGTGTGTTAATTAAATTAAATATATTACATTAGTGTACATTTAAGTACATCAAATATATTAAATTAAATACCTTATAATTCAAATTGTTAATTTGATTTATTTAGACATAATTAGACGAGGCCTACTTTGGACTACTTAACTGACTATAATTATAAGCAGAGATATGACTAAATTTAAATTTTTATTGCACTTTCCATACTTAATTGGAAAGCAAAATGAATTTAGCAAAAATGCGTTAAATTTTTTAAATACTATTTGTATATATCTTCTAAATTTTATTAAGGAAAGATGCCTTTAAAACTATATTCTGATTAAATTTATACGAGCTTTCAATGGGCAGTTTTTGCTTATAAATGTTAGATTCTAACTATAAAATTTTCATTTATAACTTTTAATATATATTTGAACGTTTAACAGTTTGTTTTTGTATATATTGTAATTATGTTTGTAAATTAATGAATTTAACATATTGTTGTAAATATTATTTGTTGATATATTATATAGCTTTACATATATTGGAAAAATGTAATTTTATAAATTTAAGAACTTACTGAAATAATTTTCATCAATAATTTATTGATACTCTTTCTTTGAGCATAAATAATCTCCAAATTTATTGATTAAGAAAATATGTATGCAGTCAATTAGTTTACGTTACATTAACGTAATTAAAATTATGAAAAATTGGCGGATGTGTAAAATATGTATGTTTTCATTTATAAGTTTATTAATTTCGATATTTTTAAATCTAAATTAATATAGACACATTCTGCTTTTAATGCATATTAGTAATTTTTTCAGTTATCTAAAAAGCAAGTCTTAAAAATATTTTTATTCTAACTACGACCATATAGAGAATTTAAGATTGCGACTTCTGAAATTTATTTATAGCCGATTTTATCTGTATTATTATTTTGCGGATAATGTTTTTATATTTTATATATGACAACATCCGTTATGTTTTTATTATATTTGCCATGACATTTTTTTTATTTCTTTACTGTTTGATTATACATTCGCTGAACATTTTAGCCTAATTGGAATCTGTCGCTCAAACTTACAATGCTTTTTTGTAATTCATATTTTTTTCTCAAGCAAAAACAAGTAGGTACAGTTTATTTGAGATGCTTTTGGAAAGGTACCATAAATATATATCATACATCTGAAATAAACATGTTATACACATATCCCAGACACTTGGTCTAAGAAATTATCTTAATTTAATAAGATTTTAATTAAGCCTTCGTCACAGTTATAAAGAAGTAGAAATCAAAACGAAATTTGAAACAATCGTATGGTGAAGTAGGAAAGATTTTGATAAAAATATACACGATAGAATTAATTGTTCGAAAATTATAGCTATTAATACCAGCATTTCTTCAAATTTTATTATATTTTCGGGATGAGATCTGTTAGTTTATAAAATTGAGCATGTCCTTTATTCTTACCACCTGATGCTCCTTATCAAGATAATCCTCCCTAATATCGACCAGCACCTTTCCTCTAAATTGAAGTATAGATACTTTTATTTAATTTTTCTATGGTCTAACTTGAATTTTTAAAACGTTTTTGTGATTATGAAGTTTTTATGAATGGGTATTTCGTCGCTACTAATATTGCTTTTATCGTTTTGGTGGCTTTTCTAATTCAGTCGAATTTTGGCCATCCCTCTATTGCAACAAATCGATGGTTAAATTTAGCTTTTTTCTACCGTTATTTTTAACAAGGGTTATTTTCGTAAATAGACATCTCAACACCTGAAATAATGCAATGTGCTTCTTATACCCAAAACTTTCAAGAGAATATTCCAGCGCAGAGAAACAATAAAATCTATGTCAAAAGTATAACAAACAGTTAAACTGTGGGAAGTTAATGCAAATACTTATTTATTGTTTTGATTAAATAAAGAGAGAGCAGTGATTCATATATAATTTATCATTTACATATAGCAAAACATAGATTTAAATTGCACCAATTTGCTATTATTTGCATTTAATTAAAATAATTTACGATCAGGAAAGATATAATATAAAAATATAAATAATATAAATATAAACTAATATAAAAACTGCTCAGTACCATATATTCAATTATTCTAATTTTCGATGTATTGCATAAAAGATAAATGTTTGAATAATTTTATTATCATTGAATACCTTTAAATTATTCAATGAATAAGCTCATCATAAAATTTATGGGTATTTGCATTAATGGTTTTATTTAAATCATTTGGAGATATGAACATTTCATTCATAAATTAGGTTTTATTGTTTCTTGCGTTTACTAATTGAGCTAAAATTTGGAACAAATAACGGTAATGTTTTTAAAGTTTAATTGGTAGACAGTATGTATAGGGTTATATATATATATATATATATATATATATATGTATATATATAACCAATTTTTTACCAGTATAATTTGCTTTCATTCTTCGAAGAAAATATAAAACTTTCGCGTTATTTTTTTATATTTTTTATTTTGTGTAAATTCCAATTAGGCTATAATTAAAAAAGTTCTACCTTAACTTGGTGTAAGGTCAGTTATAAATTTAATTCGTATAAACGTTCAAGGAATTATTGGAAGTATTTTTTTAGTGTTTCTGAAATTGATGCACATATTTTATTCTTGACATCTAAAAAAATAGCAATTTTTCTATCTGTACCTTTATTAACTGAAAAATGTTTGAAAATATTTTTACTTGTAATTTTTACAAAACGCGATCAATTTCAAACCCCGAAGTTGTTAATTTTATGATGAAACTGATTATTGTTATGCTGCCAAAAATAAAGTGTCATTTATATATTACATGATAAGGCATTTAATTAATAATAAACGAATTGTTATTGCAATATATGTATAATAAGATGTCGTATTTTTATATAGTTCATATAATAATACTTACAATTAGCAATCTTTGTACGCAATGTATTTTAATGTATATGTACCAGATTTAATGTAATATAAAGAGATTGTATTATAAATTACTGAATTTTATTTAGTTAATTTCCCAGGTGGCTTGGTATGGAACCAATTTGAACAATTTGAGAAAATCGATTTGATTTTGTTTTAAATAGATAATCAAATTTATATTGGCATGGAATCAATAAAATTTTATTACATTCAACCCTACTGTTGAATATATTCCTTTCCCTATAGTATTATATTGCTCTTTTATCACGATCATAATTTTAGTTGGGTTTTATTGCTTTATGGAGTTATATTTATTGTCATATCAACAAACCGCAGCACCACATATTCCAACACAATATTGTGAATTGTAAAATTTATTATTGAATTTAATAGCATTATAGCTTATGAGATTAACTAAACGATTTTTATTACCATTCAGCTTATGCTCGATGATTAATAAGGATTAGTAGTTTATTAAATGCAACATATAAGTTATTAATAAATCAGCGAATTATTGTTTATTTTACATTCCAGACGAACGTACGTAGTACACACACACATTTTTATATATATACACATATAAATTCTTTAAAAAGTTATCATAAAATTTGTAAATTTGGGCTATAGTTCTATCCTTCATTCAGAATATACGTAGAATGTGTCTTACAGATAGAATTACACCATTTTAAAGTTCTTATTACATAGTTAAGTGCTATATCCTTACTTATACCGTGATTTTTTTCGTTTTAATATTGTGATAAGCAAAGTATAAGTAACATTTACTATTTTATTTTTAATCCTCAAACACTATTGCTTTATATTCAGCTTTCATTTTTTTAGTTCTACTGAATGAAGACTAGGAGCTGTTTTTGAAATGCATTCTTTAATACAGAGTTAAATAGAATTTTATAATACAGAGTTCAATAGAAAGTTATGACAGGTTGCTAAACGTCATAGAATTCTTGAAGTCTTTATAGAATCCTGAATGAGTTTCACCCACAATTTTTGACCTAATATATACTTGCACTATACATTTATAACTAGTTATTGTAGTTTAAAGCAATTAAACTCAATGTGTAATGAACTATGGTATATCTATTCATTATAATGATTGGCGTAAATGTTACGGCTTTATTTTATAAATTGCTATTGAGATAGCAAATTCCGATATGAATAAATAATATATATATATATATATATATATATATATATATATATATGTGTTTTATTATCATTATTATTGTTTTTCTATGAAATTTTTTACATATTATTTATTTAGTTTTGATTTTTATAGTTAAATTGATTACCACTAAATACAGGGTAAGATGCTAGCCGAAACGTATGGATTTTAAATAAAGAAATTTAAAAAAAAATCTCATACTTTATATATATATATATATATATATGTGTGTGTATATATATATGAATGGAAACGACCAGAATTGGTGAAAACACGGTCTTACATCGAAATAAGAAGAGGATCTCATATATCTCATTGAAAAATAATCAATCTTGGCTGATAGTAATATCGCATTTGCACGATATCTGATGATATCCTATTTTACAAGAAATGCTTTGTATGGTAAAATACTCACTAATGATGATGACCAAAAATCGCATTTGGCTCAGTTTTTGCTGATAAGAACCATGAGCTGAATCATGGCAATTGCAAGAATGATGGCAGGAGATTATCGTACAAAAGGGATATATATATATATATATATATATATATGCGTGTGTGTTTGTATTTAAGGTCCAATTTTTTATAAGCACTTTTATTTTTAATTTTATTTCACACTGCAGAATTGCAATTACTTTACTTTCTTGCCAGCCTATTTTCGTTTTTACGTTTCGTTTTTAAAGCAATTAATTATTTTATGCTATTGCAGGGTGACACAGTAATACTTAACATGTGTGTCATAAGACATAAAAGATTACTTGTCGTGCTATATAATTCATTTTATTTC